CTTCTCTGTGGTCTTAAACCCAGAGCACAGGGCCTTCTCTGTGGTCTTAAACGCAGAGCACAGGGCCTTCTCTGTGGTCCTAAACCCAGAGCACAGGGCCTTCTCTGTGGTCTAAAACCCAGAGCACAGGGCCTTCTCTGTGGTCTTAAACCCAGAGCACAGGGCCTTCTCTGTGGTCCTAAACCCAGAGCACAGGGCCTTCTCTGTGGTCTTAAACCCAGAGCACAGGGCATCTCTGTGGTCTTAAACCCAGAGCACAGGGCCTTCTCTGTGGTCCTAAACCCAGAGCACAGGGCCTTCTCTGTGGTCCTAAACCCAGAGCACAGGGCCTTCTCTGTGGTCTTAAACCCAGAGCAAAGGGCCTTCTCTGTGGTCTTAAACCCAGGGCACAGGGCCTTCTCTGTGGTCTTAAACCCAGAGCACAGGGCCTTCTCTGTGGTCTTAAACCCAGAGCACAGGGCCTTCTCTGTGTACGTGTGTGTGTGTGTGTGTGTGTGTAAGTGTGCGCTTCTTGTACGCCTGCGCGTTTGTGTGTGTGTGTGTGTGTGTGCGTGCGTGCGTGCGTGTGTGTGTGTATGTAAGTGTGCGCTTCTTGTGCGCGTGCGCCTGCGCGTTTGTTGGGGTGTGCAGACGGTGAGGACTTCCCCAGACAGAGGTAGTGGGGCTGGGGTTAAAATTAAACCTGTATAGGGGTGGGAGAACCAGACTGTCTGACCTGTCTCCCCAGAAAGGAGCTCTCAAAACTGGGCTTTGAGTGGACCGTTCACAGCCTAAGAACCAGGGGTCCTTTTCTACCAGTCTCCAGCGTTCTGGACAGTGTTCTGGACAGTGTTCTGGACAGCGTTCTGGACAGTGTTCTGGGCAGTGTTCTGGACAGTGTTCTGGACAGTGTTCTGGACAGTGTTCTGGACAGCGTTCTGGACAGTGTTTTGGACAGTGTTCTGGACAGCGTTCTGGACAGTGTTCTGGGCAGTGTTCTGGGCAGTGTTCTGGGCAGCGTTCTGGACAGTGTTCTGGACAGTGTTCTGGGCAGGGTTCTGGACAGCGTTCTGGACAGTGTTCTGGACAGTGTTCTGGGCAGTGTTCTGGGCAGTGTTCTGGGCAGCGTTCTGGACAGTGTTCTGGACAGTGTTCTGGACAGTGTTCTGGGCAGCGTTCTGGACAGTGTTCTGGACAGTGTTCTGGACAGCGTTCTGGACAGTGGTCTGGGCAGCGTTCTGGGCAGGGTTCTGGACAGTGTTCTGGGCAGTGTTCTGGGCAGGGTTCTGGACAGCGTTCTGGACAGCGTTCTGGACAGTGTTCTGGGCAGCGTTCTGGACAGCGTTCTGGGCAGCGTTCTGGACAGTGTTCTGGGCAGCGTTCTGGACAGTGTTCAGGTCTGAACCAGGTCTGAAGCAGGTCTGAACCAGGTCTGAAGCAGGTCTGAACCAGGTCTGAACCAGGTCTGAACCAGGTCTGAAGCAGGTCTGAAGCAGGTCTGAAGCAGGTGTGAAGCAGGTCTGAAGCAGGTCTGAAGCAGGTCCGAAGCAGGTCTGAAGCAGGTCTGAAGCAGGTCTGAACCAAGTCTGAACCAGGTCTGAACCAGGTCTGAAGCAGGTCTGAAGCAGGTGTGAAGCAGGTCTGAAGCAGGTCTGAAGCAGGTCTGAAGCAGGTCTGAAGCAGGTCTGAAGCAGGTCTGAAGCAGGTCTGAACCAGGTCTGAACCAGGTCTGAAGCAGGTCTGAACCAGGTCTGAAGCAGGTCTGAAGCAGGTCTGAAGCAGGTCTGAAGCAGGTGTGAAGCAGGTCTGAAGCCGGACTAAACCAGGACTAAACCAGGACTAAACCAGGACTAAACCAGGACTGAAGCCGGTCTAAACCAGGACTTGGTCTGGTCTGGGTCTGGTCTCACTGATCGCTGTCTCTTGAACATGTTCTTATCTCGTCATCGTCACTTTTTCTGAAGACGGAAATGTTTTAATCTGATGTAAACGTTTCCACGAACTGCTCAGTCTCTTCCATTTAAAGCTCGGGTCTCTAACTTCTCTGTTTCCATAGTAACAGGTCGTTGGTCCGACAGAAAGGGCCTCGTAAATGTGAAATGTTTGAACAAATCAGACCAGAGAGAGACCAGAGAGAGACCAGAGAGAGAGACTAGAGAGAGACCAGAGAGAGACCAGAGAGAGACCAGAGAGAGAGACTAGAGAGAGACCAGAGAGAGACCAGAGAGAGACCAGAGAGAGAGACTAGAGAGAGACCAGAGAGAGACCAGAGAGAGACCAGAGAGAACCCAGAGAGAGACCAGAGAGAGACCAGAGAGAGAGACCAGAGAGAGAGACTAGAGAGAGACCAGAGAGAGACCAGAGAGAGAGACCAGAGAGAGAGACTAGAGGGAGAGACCAGAGAGAGACCAGAGAGAGACCAGAGAGAGAGACCAGAGAGAGAGACCAGAGAGAGACCAGAGAGAGACCAGAGAGAGAGACCAGAGAGAGAGACCAGAGAGAGACCAGAGAGAGAGACCAGAGAGAGAGACCAGAGAGAGAGACCAGAGAGAGAGACCAGAGAGAGACCAGAGAAAGTCCTGTGATCAGGAAGTTTTTAAATGTGTTATAATTGTTTAAAAAAATTAAAAAATAATAAAACAACATCAAAATAGTTCAAATCTAAAAACCATGTCTTTAAATGGTCAATTTGTGTTTGTGTGTGTCTCTGTGTGTGTGTGTGTGTGTGTGTGTCTGTGTGTCTGTGTGTGTGTGTGTCTGTGTGTGTGTGTGTGTGTCTGTGTGTGTTTCTGCGTGGTAACACGGTGGCTGAGTGGATAGCACTCTCGCCTCTCAGCAAGAAGGTCCTGGGTTCGAATCCCGGTCGGACCAGGGCCTTTCTGAGTGGAGTTTGCATGTTCTCCCCGTGTCTGCGTAGGTTTCCTCCGGGTACTCCGGTTTCGACCACTAAAAATATGTACAATAGGACTGTGCATGCGCCTCCTGTACTGGCGACCCCGCTCCCATCTCTGTGTGGAGTGAGAGACAAATGCCCAAAAAAATAATAACAATTGTAAACCGCTTTGTGACTCTGGTCTGTGAAAGGCGGTATATAAATAAACATTACTTACTTACTTACTACTTACTTACTCTGTGTGTGTGTGTGTGTGTGTGTGTGTGTGTGTGTGTGTGTGTGTGTGTGTATATGTGTGTATATGTGTGTGTCTCTGTGTGTGTGTGTGTGTATATGTGTGTGTGTGTGTGTATATGTGTGTGTCTGTGTGTACTTTGAAGAACCTAGAATTCAAAACTTATTTTCAGTAGTTTCATACTTCTTTTTTAGTCAAACATAATTCCACATGAGTTCATTCATATTTTGATGCCTTCAGTGTGAAACCGGAGCACCTGGAGGAATCCAACGCAGACACGTGGAGAACATGCACAGGGCCTTCTCTGTGGTCTCAAACCCAGAGCACAGGGCCTTCTCTGTGGTCTTAAACCCAGAGCACAGGGCCTTCTCTGTGGTCTTAAACCCAGAGCACAGGGCCTTCTCTGTGGTCTTAAACCCAGAGCACAGGGCCTTCTCTGTGGTCTTAAACCCAGAGCACAGGGCCTTCTCTGTGGTCTTAAACCCAGAGCACAGGGCCTTCTCTGTGGTCTAAAACCCAGAGCACAGGACCGTCTCTGTGGTCTTAAACCCAGAGCACAGGGCCTTCTCTGTGGTCTAAAACCCAGGGTACAGGGCCTTCTCTGTGGTCTTAAACCCAGAGCACAGGGCCTTCTCTGTGGTCTTGAACCCAGAGCACAGGGCCTTCTCTGTGGTCTTAAACCCAGAGCACAGGGCCTTCTCTGTGGTCTTAAACCCAGAGCACAGGGCCTTCTCTGTGGTCTTGAACCCAGAGCACAAGGCCTTCTCTGTGGTCTTAAACCCAGAGCACAGGGCCTTCTCTGTGGTCTTAAACCCAGAGCACAGGGCCTTCTCTGTGGTCTTAAACCCAGAGCACAGGGCCTTCTCTTTAGTCTTAAACCCAGAGCACAGGGCCTTCTCTTTAGTCTTAAACCCAGAGCACAGGGCCTTCTCTTCAGTCTTAAATGCAGAGCACAGGGCCTTCTCTGTGGTCTTAAACCCAGAGCACAGGGCCTTCTCTGTGGTCTTAAACCCAGAGCACAGGGCCTTCTCTGTGGTCTTAAACCCAGAGCACAGGGCCTTCTCTGTGGTCTTAAACCCAGAGCACAGGACCTTCTCTGTGGTCTTAAACCCAGAGCACAGGGCCTTCTCTGTGGTCTTAAACCCAGAGCACAGGACCTTCTCTGTGGTCTTAAACCCAGAGCACAGGGCCTTCTCTGTGGTCTTAAACCCAGAGCACAGGGCCTTCTCTTTGGTCTTAAACCCAGAGCACAGGGCCTTCTCTGTGGTCTTAAATCCAGAGCACAAGGCCTTCTCTTTGGTCTTAAACCCAGAGCACAGGGCCTTCTCTGTGGTCTTAAATCCAGAGCACAGGGCCTTCTCTGTGGTCTTAAACCCAGAACACAGGACCTTCTCTGTGGTCTTAAACCCAGAGCACAGGGCCTTCTCTGTGGTCTTAAACCCAGAGCACAGGGCCTTCTCTTTGGTCTTAAACCCAGAGCACAAGGCCTTCTCTTTGGTCTTAAACCCAGAACACAGGACCTTCTCTGTGGTCTTAAACCCAGAGCACAGGGCCTTCTCTGTGGTCTTAAACCCAGAGCACAGGGCCTTCTCTGTGGTCTTAAATCCAGAGCACAAGGCCTTCTCTTTGGTCTTAAACCCAGAGCACAGGGCCTTCTCTGTGGTCTTAAATCCAGAGCACAGGGCCTTCTGGGCAGCGTTCTGGACAGTGTTCTGGACAGTGTTCTGGACAGCGTTCTGGACAGCGTTCTGGGCAGCGTTCTGGGCAGTGTTCTGGACAGCGTTCTGGACAGCGTTCTGGGCAGCGTTCTGGGCAGCGTTCTGGACAGTGTTCTGGACAGCGTTCTGGGCAGCGTTCTGGACAGCGTTCTGGACAGCGTTCTGGACAGTGTTCTGGACAGCGTTCTGGACAGCGTTCTGGACAGCGTTCTGGACAGCGTTCTGGACAGTGTTCTGGGCAGTGTTCTGGGCAGCGTTCTGGACAGTGTTCTGGACAGTGTTCTGGACAGCGTTCTGGACAGTGTTCTGGACAGTGTTCTGGGCAGCGTTCTGGACAGTGTTCTGGGCAGCGTTCTGGACAGTGTTCTGGACAGCGTTCTGGGCAGCGTTCTGGACAGCGTTCTGGACAGCGTTCTGGACAGTGTTCTGGACAGCGTTCTGGACAGTGTTCTGGGCAGTGTTCTGGGCAGCGTTCTGGACAGTGTTCTGGACAGTGTTCTGGGCAGCGTTCTGGACAGTGTTCTGGACAGTGTTCTGGACAGCGTTCTGGACAGTGTTCTGGGCAGTGTTCTGGACAGCGTTCTGGACAGTGTTCTGGACAATGTTCTGGGCAGCGTTCTGGACAGTGTTCTGGGCAGCGTTCTGGACAGTGTTCTGGACAGCGTTCTGGACAGTGTTCTGGACAGTGTTCTGGGCAGCATTCTGGACAGTGTTCTGGACAGCGTTCTGGGCAGCGTTCTGGACAGCGTTCTGGACAGCGTTCTGGACAGTGTTCTGGACAGCGTTCTGGACAGTGTTCTGGGCAGTGTTCTGGACAGTGTTCTGGACAGCGTTCTGGACAGCGTTCTGGACAGTGTTCTGGGCAGTGTTCTGGGCAGCGTTCTGGACAGTGTTCTGGACAGTGTTCTGGACAGCGTTCTGGACAGCGTTCTGGACAGCGTTCTGGACAGTGTTCTGGGCAGCGTTCTGGACAGCGTTCTGGACAGTGTTCTGGGCAGCGTTCTGGACAGTGTTCTGGACAGCGTTCTGGACAGTGTTCTGGGCAGTGTTCTGGACAGGGTTCTGGACAGTGTTCTGGACAGTGTTCTGGACAGTGTTCTGGGCAGCGTTCTGGGCAGTGTTCTGGACAGGGTTCTGGACAGTGTTCTGGAGGCGCGTCACACGCTGGAGGAAAGAGCGTTTTGGGCCTTCTCTGTTGCCAACACAACTCAGAGCGGAGAGGGAAGGACACAGCGGCCCAGATGGAAGGAAAAAAGTTTAAAATACGCTTTAATTAGGACATAAAAGTGACTTCTAATAACATTTGAGGCGATAAATACCCCCCTCTATTGCCCTATCGGAGGTCTGTTTGGGGATCAAATAGAACATTGTCGGACTATTCTTCTGGCGCTGACAGCGAGGGTTGGGCAGTGCTCAAGCCGAGGACAGAGCGTCTCAACGCGGGGGAAGCATCAGTGGAGCTCACAAGCTTCATTCTGAAAACCCAAAGACAAGGCTTTTGTTACGGACTTTCTCTGTTATAACAATTGTATTGGCAGTAATCATTTGTTTTTATAAAGTGATATTTGATGTAAACAATTACACATATGTGCAATAAATGATTATTATAAAGGATTGATATATTTGCCTTATGATTATATATTTGTCAAGAGATCACGAGCAGCGCCTCACGAGCAGCGCGTCTTTGAGCGTTTGGCACGTTTGGTGCGGCGCATTTTGAGATTTCGAGCGTCTTGACGCGCGCGGATGACGCTCGAGTTGAACAATGTTGAACTTTTCGGGAGAAGACGAGAGCGTCTACCAATCAGGAACCTCCTCCAACAGTGACGTGGTAACGCATTTCACGGCAGGACCGAGGGGGACGACAACACAACAGCTATGGAGGACAAGCTGTGCTGTTAGCCCATGAGCCCTGCAGACTATAACCACCGTGACATGGAGGAGGTCAGTGAGGAGGTGTCTCTGGTCAGTTATTTAAACTTTTCACAATCACTAATACTTCCATGAACAAAATCTGTAATGTCACAGGGAGAAACAAACCCACAGATTACATATTAAAGCTACACAGAGGAAACAGTCCATGGAGACAGCAGCTGTAGTCCATAGACGTACAGTCTATGGTCTGATATTTACAGTCTATGGTCTGATATTTACAGTCTATGGTCTGATATTTACAGTCTATGGTCTGATATTTACAGTCTATGGTCTGATATTTACAGTCTATGGTCTTGTATTTACAGTCTATGGTCTGATATTTACAGTCTATGGTCTGATATTTTACAGTCTATGGTCTGATATTTACAGTCTATGGTCTGATATTTACAGTCTATGGTCTTGTATTTACAGTCTATGGTCTATGACCGTTTGTTTCAAATATCCTGCTTTAAAAACATTTTTTAAACTCCTCTTAGTGTTTAGTAGTGTATTGCACGTATGTGTGTACAATTTATATTTAGTTTAAGTCTTTTGATCGTAGATGAACACACAAGGAAAAAGCTTGGCGTGAGGCAGGCGGTATCTGTGCCTCACCGCTAGGGGTGATAGTGAGCATAAAGTTCATACCAGAGTTGCTAACAAACAATCAGCCCAAAATGCTATTTCTTTTGCTGGAAAATGGATGATTGAATGAAGATTTTTTTTCTCAATTGGACTTTCAAACAAAGAAAAGAATAATATAGACTGGGAGACCACCACTGGACTTACGAGGTTAGTCCGGCTGCGGGGGAGGAGTTTGTTAATCTGTGTTTTATGTTGAACATTGACAGATACCGGCAAAGTAATGCTTTTCCGAAAAACAACTGATTCAAACACTGCTCAAGAGTTCTGCAACTTGTTTAACAATTATTGTTTGTTCACTCGTTCCAGTCTCTACTAGCTCACTCTCTAGTCTACTCTCTGCTCTCTCTGTCATCTCTCTGCACCTCTCGCGTCATCAACTCTCTGCTCCTCGCGTACTCCGTCACTCAGCGCCTGCTCCTGTCTCATCATCTGCTCCTCTCTCCATCGCGTCTCTCGTCAACTCTCTCGTGCGTCTCTCTCTGCTCTCGTCCTGCGTCATCAGTCTCTCTCTGCTACTCGCAGTACTCCGTCCTCCGTCCACTGCTCCTTCTCCTGTCTCATCTCTGCTCCTCTCTTCTCCTCGCGTCTCTCTCTACACTACACGCGTCTCTCGCACACTGCGCTTGCTTTCAAGATGTTGTTTGATGCGGAGCAGAGTCAGCAGCTAGATTTGTTGTTAGATTAATAATAAGAAAGCTGGTTCTCTTATCTTTTACAGTCTATAAAGTTAGTGGATGTCATTGTAAAAACAAAAAAAACATCGTGGTGATTAAATTGCTAATTATTATTGACATAATGAATCGAGTAACACTCTGACTTATTAAAGTCAGTGCGCAGTCCCAACAATACACAAAACATCAGAACCCACAGCACTCCCTAGGTGTGTGTGCAAAGCGTGTGTGTAGTGTGCTCAGGGCCGACAGTGGGTTCTTCTGACGATGGGCATACAGTCCAGACGACGAGGACGTTCTGCTGCAGGAGGAGTCAGTCAAGCGGAAACATCAATCAAACAGGGATGTCTGCTCAAACAGTCATTTCTTCCACTCCCCAACATATTTCCATCAGAAAACAGAACATAAAAATCAAATTGGGGGTATTATTGGAATGCGTAAACGGTATGATCGTTGTAGACAGAGTAACTAATCGAAGGCTATATAAGGAAGATCCGGGTTTCAAAACAAAATTGTGACGTTACAATTCTAGATAAATATACCACGTTAAATATACTCCATCCACATGTATTTGGATGGATGCAGATGTGACCTGAATTCGAAGACAAGAGTACATTTATTTAAACTATATCTTCCTATAACTAATCTTTTTATCGAATAGAGAAGCGCCACAAGGCGTGGAACCTCATTTAGATCGGAAGAAAAAAGAAATACTTGACAGCCTACCCAGGGGCCGAAAGTATGAAATGTTTGAACGCATGGTCTTTTGCCATCCATGGAATATTCTTTTCTACGTGAAGGTTTCGATAAAAGTATTTAAAACTATTGAGTTTTGGAAGATATTGAGACGTTCTTTTACTGTAATTATTGGACTAGAACCAAACACTGAATGAGTTACAGGATAAAGGACAAATGATCAACATTGCGTTTAAATTACACAATTTCCTTATGATATATTCAGGGGGTTCAAAATAATTCGAATAACAAGTAAAAAATAAAACAAATAAAAATCCCCGAAGACTTAAGCTTTACAAATAGAAGATGAACATCGACACCGGTAGCTCATATATCCTTCACCAATATATAATAATGGCTATCTTAAATAACAATAATAGAACCTAATTTCAGGACCAATAGAATGGCCTAGGCAATTGTGCGCCACATGCCTGGGTAATGACACAACAAACACCGTTGTTCCAACCTTTTGAGCCGTATAGCACCAACATACTTTTATTAAATTAATATACAATCACAAGTTACACCAACCAGTGCTAAAACCTTACACACAACAAAATCACAGTAATTTACACAAAGATGTACTCAAATATAAGAAACCGACGTGCAAAGCAGTATTCATATTTTCTTCGTTTTACATTATTTATGACCAAGATAAGTGATAAAAATCTGCAAGGCACTCCTGGTTGAAAAACAACTATTGAAGCTATTTAAGATTACGAATACGGCACACAAACCCAAAACAGGTCTACACTTAGCACAATATTCCTTTATTTATCAGACAAACTAGACCTAAATTATGGCCTCAGATCACAATCTCTCAGGATCTACACCCACGGATGATAATCTTGTGAAGAATGATTTTTACTCACTTCAATACGAATCTACCTTACGAAACATTAGGTACTGCCACAAAGACAAGAGAGAGTTATGGAAAAACTGCCCATAGTGTGGTTACCATGGGGCACAGAGACTAGAAAAGAACCTGGGAAAGTGCGTAAATTCAATCAGCGAACGACACCTCAAGCCGATTCTGTCATTACATAATCGATCCGCTCCAAGTACATATATTGATGAGAGCGAACCTACGATGCTGTGACAGACTGAGACATTAGAAAAGTCATTGTCTGTACGCTGTAGGAGGAAGAGGCCCACAGCCCCCCTGGGACTCCATTCCCACCGGCGCTTCCTGCGATGGTTACGCAAGTGAGACTTTGTGCTGACAGCGTGGGTCTAAATGCGCACTTACAGCTGCACATATGTTTAAACAACAGGAGGATGGTCAGAGAGAAATCGGTGATTGTTACCAATTTGAGATGATTTAGAAAAATACAGCTAGGCTAGATAGTCAAGCTATGCAGCTAATCTGGGCCGCAGTAGGATCTGCATATGTTTTCTTATAGAATTATGAGCAAATGAGAGGAGGCTCGACAACCCCTCACATCCGACCGCGCGGAAATGCCAGATCTACATATGCATACTGGCCAATAGTCTTAGTACCAATGTCTCTATGAAGCGAGGGAGCGATCTAAAAACTATGAACAGTGCGATACAACATACTTCCTGGAGTATAGCACACACAATCACCATTCAGTCACAGACGGCTACATGTACTCTCTGCGTCTGCTCCGATAAGAGTTCTATTCTTTAGCTAGTATATTCTGAGTCTTAGTTTTTTATTACTATTCTTTTCTATATTACTTTAGATGTTATTTCGATAGATGGTTTTGTTTGGTTGTATTTCTCTATAATCTTCAACAAAATAAACACGGTAGCTGCATCGCTAGATCTATACAGTCTTCTCGACCATAGCGGCCAGGTAATCACTCTAATGCATCTAGCCTGTTCTTTCGCAGTTCAGAGGACTTGCCTGCTAATCAGTCTCTAACTCACCGACAACAACTTCATTTCTGTTCGAGCGATGGTCAGAGCTAGTAACAAGACAGAGAGATATATCAGAAACCAAGAACTGCATTAATTCCCTGGACTTTCGAACAAACTCTCAAACGGAGCGTCTTGTCTTGTGTTGTGTGTTTAACGAAAAATGTATATGTTCATTTTTTTCATTCATTCTCAACATCTTTATTAGTCCATTTCTGGGTCGGGGGGGTGGCTCTCATTGCCATAATATATATGTATATGTGATTATTGCATACCTTACTATTGATACGATTTTATATAATATATATTTTGAGCGCTTAAGACGTGTCCATGCTCTTCATTCACACACCTCAGACTCCGAGCCAAACCTTAATGACAGTATAGTGAATGCCAATACCAAATAACAAGTGTTGGTAACAAGTAGTGTTATTAGTAGTACCTTGTAGTAACAGTAGCACTGTGGCAGGGTGAACAGGAGGATAATCAAGTACTTCAAAAGAAACTGGATTCACAAAGAAGACATCTCTTCACCAGGATCACAGAGAGAACAATAAAACACAGATGTTTTACCCCAAAACAGTTCCTGAGTTTACTTTTAGAGGAAGTCAATAGGAGCCAGAGGGAGTTAGAGCAAAACTTCCTCCCAGAGCACTTCCCTATTGTACTTAATTAAGCTAGCAGGTTAGCATTGTCCATCTATACACAGTCTATGGTGGAGTTTTGCTAAAAACATTATTTTCAGAAGTAGGAACTCGTCTTCAGAAACAACTCCTATTTATTGTCGACGAGACATGGACTCAGTAATGTGACATCACACACACTGTCCCAGTTGTGACTCACACAAACTTTGTTCTAAAGAACTTAAACCTTTATGACTGCACAGCCTAGTGAACACTAGCAGGAATACAGTGATAAAGGTTTCCTACCCACTATCAGCATTAATTTGGCATGAAAATGTATTCATTGAGCAAATTTGGTGCATTTTCTCAATGCACCAAATGTACAATAGCAAAACCCAAAGATAATAAACATTTACTCATACAAATGGCAAATTAAGTTTTGTCTCAAAAATAAAGCTTATGTGCATGAGTCACATTTTCATTATAATTCTATACAGTGATGAACAGGGAATGGGGTAGACTGCCCACACCACAATGGGAAAATGGGGATTATTCTGCCCCGTTATATCTTATGACACATAGTCTTTTAAGTACTCTGGTGTTTTCCTGATTCGAGCCGGATAACGTCTCTCATTCTCAGGATGCTGCTGGAAAGAATCAGGGAGTACTTCAGGTTCAGTCTCTGCAGGAATGTTCTCTAAAGGATCGTCTGGAACAGTAACTTGTAGCTGCGGAGCAAACCGGAGTGCAGGACAAATGATATCTGTTTCTCCGGAGATTGCCGTTCGGAGTTCCACAATGTAGGACCTGGGTGTGTCTGCCGTAGACACCACAGTTCCTCTCTGCTGCATGTCAGCATGTCATGACCCACACATGTTCTCCCTGACTGCAAACTGGGCATGTCATGAGCTCTGTGTCGTTTGTTTTAGTTACGTATTTGTTTTTAGTCTGTAACTCTGTTCTCTCCTTTTCACTTTTCTTAAGGTCAGCACCATTCGGTACAAGCTGAGAAGTGAAGCAACGATAAGCCATTAAAGCTAAATAAGGATCACTAGACTTCTTAAGAAAGTTTTTGATTGTCCTGACTGCACGCTCAGCCTCCCCCATTACTTTGTGGGAAGTGGGGACTGGCGGATGTGTGAGAAACCCATGTGTGTGCAAACTTTTGGAAGGCTTCTGATGCAAATTGCGGCCCATTGTCTGTACGCACTACCTCTGGAATGCCATGTCGAGCGAAGATAGACTTAAAAAGTGATTGTCTGGAGTTTGTCAGAAAGAGAGACAGAGACGTACTTGATTTGAAACAAACGACGCAAGCTCCCTCCCCCTTCCATTCTGATTGGTCTACACCCTCGTTTCCGTAACACTTTTAAATGTTAATCAGAGAACACATTATACATATACATAATTAATACACATGCACGGAGGTTTTCATTATTTTAAACGTTATCGCATTATTTTTTAACGTTTTAATGAAAAAAATAATGTTTTAATGCACACAAAAAAGCGATCGCGGCAAACCGGAACAAGCTATTATCATGAATTGCACATTTTAGGACACACCCTGCAGAGGATCTGATTATGGATAGAGGTTCAGTATAAACATAAGTACCTCAGTGCGGATGTTCAGAATTCTTTGTTCAGTTATTTCATGTAGTTCCAGAGCCTAGTAGAGGCTTGATTCGGAGGCTCCGCGAAAACAAACAACTGAGCATGAGCAGCTGGGAGCATCAGCGCCGATGATTGACAGCCCTTGGCATTACTCGATTGGTTAACCTCAACGGCACCGTGGATTCTGACCTAATAGCTAAGAGAAGGGAAGGCGGGACTTGCCCGTAATATTAGATTTAATAAAATGACTTATTTTGTATTAACATTTAAGGCCAGGAGGTCAATTTAACACATTTCCTAAAATTTGTAATTCATTTAGAGTTACAGACTATCACTTTAAGCCTAGTTTATTACTCGCGCAGCGCAGAGCTTACGGAGGTGACGTGACGTCACTTGCGCAACGTGTTGGTCACCCAAGGCCCTTAAGGGCTCGACACACGAGAGGCGACATCGCATCGCCTCCATTCATTTTCAATGGGACGTGCGCGACATAGCGTCAATCGCTAGCGAGCCTCCTGCTCAGCGACGGGCGAAAAACGTGCGTGTGAAATCCTCCCGCTCGTGCATGTATCGTGCATGCGCAGGTCAGCGACGCGGATCCCAGAAAGTTGAAATCGGCTCAACTTTTCGACGCTGTCGTCAAGGTGAGAACCAATCAGCGGAGGTGGCATTGCCGGCCTGTGCCGCTTGCCGCTTGCCGCATCGCGCCCCGTCTGTCATGTTATCTGAGCGACAGCGTTGAGTTTCGCTGATCGCTCTCATTTGTCGCCTCCCGTGTGTCGAGCCCTTTACGTCGCCTGCCGCGCAGCATCGAAATTTTCTAACTACGTAAGGGTCGCCGCAAGGAAGCTCCGCTGTGATTGGTCCGTGTGTGTGTATTGGAAGGGAAGTAAGTAAGTAAGTAATCTTTATTTATATACCGCCTTTTCACTGCACATCGGAGTCTCAAAGCGGTTACAATTGTTATTTTTGGGAGTGGGGGTGCCAGTACAGGAGGCACATGCCAGACCTATTGTACATATTTTTAGTGGTAGGGGAAACCGGAGCACCCGAAGGAAACCTACGCAGACACGGGGAGAACAGGCAAACTCCACTGAGAGGCGAGAGTGCTATCCACTCAGCCACCATGCCGCCCGTAAACTATGTTTCCAACAAGAACTGTGTCTTTATTCACAGCATCACAGTTGAAATGACTTAAAAAATAATTCATTAAAATAAAATAATGAATCCATAAAACTATCACATAAACCTACAGTAGAAACACGTGTAATGAACTCAAACAGCTTTGTTTGCTATTGTTGTTCTGAAGAGGACAAAGTAGCAGCGCAAATGGGACCGCTCCAAGCCGTGCCAAGTTTGTGGCACTAAAGTGTGGATTTAAAGAAAACCGAAGGATTTAAGAAGAAAAACAGTTCAGGATGACAAGGGACACTAAAAATCCCCACAAAATCCGATCTTTATTAAAGCTGTAGGTTCTCTGTCAGCTGAGGTCGAGCTGTTTTAATATGCATTGAGTTCTATGGGGAAAATTTCTGGGTAGCCCACGTGAATTTAGTCTGGTTCAGTCTGCAGTACCGCGAGAATCCCCGTGAGCACACGGGTTATTCAGCTACAAGCTAGTAATACCCTATCCAGTTATTATAATAGATCCATGGACCGCTCCTGTGAGATCGCCCTCATGTGGTTTGTTGTGGGATTACAACATTCTCCTCAAAACTCCGTAAGGGGAATGCACCAGTATAACATCAATTGTGCTTACGTAGGGTCCACCGCAACCGCTAACGTAAGCCACGCCGCGCAAGTATACACTAGGCTTTACGTTGCCTGCCGCGCAGTACCAACATTTTCTAACTACGTAAGGGTCGCCGCAAGGAAGCCCCGCTGTGATTGGTCCGTGTGTGTGTATTGGAAGAAAGCACGGAGCGGCTGCAGGAGCATGGATGAGGCACTATGGAGCAGACTGCTTCACGCTTCGAAGGAACAGACTAAAGTTCTGTTGCATATCTAACATATATATAACTTATAACTGTGCAGTCTGTTTTACACTGTTCCTGTCTTTGTTTGAATCGTAGATTATCGCGTCTGTTCCATTCCTCCT